AGAAGATACATTCGTCAAGAATCATAAGGTACAACACTTAATGATAGTCATAGGGAAACAGTCAATATAAATCTTAAGGATACCAGCAACAAGGTTACAGTCATACAGTCATAAGTGGGAGGAGATGGGTGATAGGAATGATGAGAAGTTTAATAGTAATGCAGACTTAGTAACTAGTCATAGTCATAGGGTACAAATAAGCAATCAAATCATATTAGGAAACTGTACATCGTAAGGATAGATCAACAAGTTACAGTTGTAAGTGGGAGGAGATGGTGATAGGAACGAAGGGAAGATTAATAGTAATGTAGACTTAGTGAATAAGTTTGACAGTGTTGAGGGAATTATTTGTTTAGCAGAGTGATGGCGTTTGGGAAAAAACTGTCCTTGTGTCTAGTTGTTCTGGTGTGCAGTGCTCTATACCATCGTTTTGAGGGTCAGAGTTGAAACAGTTTATGTCCAGGATGTGAGGAGTCTGTAAATATTTTCACAGCCCTCTTTTTGACTCTGCAGTATACAGGTCCTCAATGGAAGGCAGGTTGGTAGTAATTGTTTTTTTTTTCCTGCAGTTCTAATTATCCTCTGAAGTCTGTGTCTGTCCTGTTGGGTTGTGGAATCAAACCAGACAGTTATAGGGGTGCAGATGACTCAATAATTCCTCTGTAGAACTGGATCAGCAGCTCTTTGGGCAGTTTGAGCTTTTTGAGTTGGTGCAGAAAGAACATTCTTTGTTGTGCTTTTTTGATGACGTTTTTGATGTTAGGTGTCCATTTTAGGTCGTGAGATATGATAGAACCTAACAATTTGAAGGTCTCTACTGTTGATACTGTGTTGTCTAGTAGTATGGGAGGGTTTCTCCTAAAGTCTACCACCATTTCTACGGTTTTGAGTGTGTTCAGTGCCAGATTGTTCCGGTCGCACCACGAGGCTAGTTGTTCAACCTCCCCTCTGTATGCGGATTCATCGTTGTCTTGAATGAGACCGATCCCTGTTGTGTCATCTGCAAACTTCAGTAGTTTAACAGATGGATTGTTTGAGATGCAGTCATTGGTGTACAGAGAGAAGAGAAGTGGAGAGAGCACACAGCCTGGGGGGGCTCCTGTGCTAATTGTGCAGGTATCTGATGTGATTCTGCTTAGCTTCACCTGCTGCTTCCTGCCTGTTAGGAAGCTTATGATCCACTTACAAGTATGTTCAGGTACCGCCGGCTGGTTTAGTTTAGTTAGAAACATCTAGTTCATCGCTCATCAGTTCTGTCCACTTTGAGTCTTTAGAATCCCTGCCCCTTTCAGTCTTCTCCAATCAGCCGGCCATTTTCGGACCAGACACCGCCACCTCCTTCAAATATGCCAGCAACAAATTAAATTCCAGTCATCTGATTGTAAATCTGTTTAACTGCTGTTCCTTACATCTGAATATCATCCTTGGGTTGATTTAAAACCATTGTTATTTTATCAAATGTTTAATCTAAATTTTCAATTCAAACTTGTAAGTTGAAAAACATTTTTTCAAGGGCTTTCCAAAGGTCTTTATCCTTATGTTGTGCATTGTTTGCATTTTTGATATATTCCCAGACCCTTCCTTTAGAGCCAAACATAAACAAGGAACAGGGGAAGCACCATAACAAAATAACCTTGGAGAGCATTGAGATAATCTTTCCCACAATAAAAATAAGTAGAAAAAACAGGGGAATTTCCATCAACAATTTAAAAAATAAGACCAGAGCTTTTAAAAATTAATAAAAGTGAAATCCCTATAATGAAAATACAAATGTAAATCAGATCAGATTACTTTCAGTACCCAGGGAATTGCCATCAACTTCCATACGGAGAAAGTAAAAGTGATTTGAAACAGCAAATAAAGCAGTAAGAGCCTTGATAGTACAGTGGTTTAGTGCACCCTGTTATTAACACAGCTGCCTGCAATTTCTGCTGGTTCGAATCTCTCCAAGGCTCAAGGTTGACTCAGCCTTCCATCCTTTCTAAGGTAGGTGAAATGAGGACCCAGTTTGTGGGGGCAATAAGCTGACTTTGTATAAAATATACAAAAGAATGAAGGCTATTGCTTAACGCATTGTAAGCCGCCCTGAGTCTCTGGAGAAGGGCGGCATATAAATCAAATAAAAAAAAAAAAAGTAAAAGAAAACACAAAAAAATTAATTTTAATATCCAGCAAGGGATTATAATAAAACACCATTCAGCCAGTCGATTAACATTTAAAAGGAAAAATCAAAAGGAAAAAGGAAATGTCAAAATGTGCAGTTAAAACCCAGCCATTCTTCAAACAAACAAACAAGCAACTGAAAGGAAAAGATGGAGACCTGACTTCTGACTACTGAAAATTGCAATTTTCCAGATTCCTCTTTCCATGTAGATCCACATTTGTCCAAGAATCATTTTGGGTTGTTCCTAATTGCTTCCGTTCAAATCCAAGAGCCAACTTTGGTGGTGAAATTAGCTGTTTGTCAGCAGGAGAGAAAGATTGCTCAGCACGGCATCTTCGGAGGACTTCCCCCACCTATGATCATGTCTCTGACTTCCCATCCTGGTTCTTCCCTGATCCGTATGGACAATCGCCTATCACTCAGCCTTTCACTTTCCATGCCGTTGATCCAGGTCTTAAAGCCAGGTCTTGAAATATGCTCAGCCAGGTCCTTTTTATCACAACTGGGCCAGAACTGGACAGAAATACAGGCAAATCTTGACCCTCCATCCTGCTAGATTCCAAGTTAATACACAGAGAGTTACACGATTAGTCATTCATGTAGGAGAGCGGGAAAGGAAGCTGGCCAGGGTGGATTGTAATAGACCCTCTTCGATCATTCATCAGGAGGTGTCAGGTCAAGGAAATCTGAAATATTCAGCTACACACATTGATGACTTGCATCTTCCTTGAAATCAGTCTTGGGGGGGGGGGGAGAAACAGCTAACCAAGACTATTCAGCTCATCAACATGTTGACTGTCTTTCGTTGCGATAGTGTTGATGTCTAGTATTGATGTGAATCTGACCTGATAGTCCAGTATGTACCCCAGAAGCTGAGGGGCTTCAAAATTTGGCTGAGTTTGCCAGAATAAGGATGTTGCTGAGTTGTTTGTGGTGGTGGGTTCATCCCAAGAGAGATCTTCTAGGGGGTCACTACAGCCTGTGGTCCATTTGGTGGAACTGTGGCCATAGAGAAGAAAAACTGGAATGTTGGGGCTGCTTTTTACATCAGAGGAGATGCAGCCTTTAAATGGGGGGGGGGCTGCATCTGAGCCCCTCTTTGCCTGTTGCTGTTGCCAGATCGTTTTCCTTCTGGTTCTTCCGTTGAAATCCTCAGTTATGTATCAGAGGTATGTTTGGGTTGTTATTGTTGATGTTGCAACTCTTTTCAGTAGGTATTGCCACTAAATTGGATCAGCTTGCTGTTTTCAATATGGTTATTTATTATTCAATTTCTTTAACCACAAACTCAACCAAGTAACTCTGGGGAGCCTTCAGTATCACAAATTATGTGGATTAACTCACATAGAACAAGATGAGTCCATTTTTGTATTCCCTTTGTGACGCTGAGGCCATTAATCAAAGGATGTTCTGCTGCTCCCGTCCTCAACCTGATGTTGTATAGAATGAAGGCATGGAAAGCTGCTGCTGCTGCTTCTTCTTCTATAGAAATATTGTGAATGTTTTCAGCAGATAGGATAGGATAGGATAGGATAGGATAGGATAGGATAGGATAGGATAGGATAGGATAGGATAG